TCTCTCTCTCTCTCTCTCTCTTTCCCTCTCTCTCTCAAAATAAACATTAAAAAAAAATTTTTAAGACATTTTCTAGAAGTCCCCCACCTGCAGAGTGAGGCAGGAGAGTAATCAAGCCAATGTTTTTAGTCACACTAAGATCAAGGCAGATTAGTGGTCAGCACCCTGCGCCCGGACCGCACCCCGCACCCCGCACCCTGCGCCCCGTACTCGACTGGCTCCCTGCACCATAGCAGCGTTTGAGGGGAAGATGGGAATCCTCATGGGTAGAAATGTCACTGCAGCCTGGTTACCACTGTGACCAGCTCCCTCTGCAGACACTGTCCATGTTCCAGAAGTTAAGCAGAAGTGATTTAGGATACTAGAGCCTTTTAAACAGGCTTAGCTGTTTCCTGTCAGAGGCCACAGGCCAACCCGAGCCCTGTCACCTGCTCCAGGGCCCAGGACTCAGTACATGGGAGCAGATCAGAGGCATGGGACTCAGCTTCGGGGCGGCCAGGAAATCTCCATTCTCTTTGGGGTTCTGGGTGGACAGAGATTTTTAGAGTGCGACATACAAAATTAAGTCGTTATGCTTAAATTATCCAGGCTGAGAAAATGGAAGCCTTTCGCAAAGCCATCTCCAACCCAGAGATGAACCAGTCTCTCCAGGAAGACAGGAACTGTGGCCGAACCCTCCAGAACCGTCAGCAGGCAGTGTCCTCTGATGTCCCTGCTGGGGGCACACAGCGGCCTTGTTCACGTCAAGGCTGGGAGGCTAACCTCACAATTCCAGCTTACTCCATGGCTCAAGTGGGTCTAATGCCACACTTGGGTAGAAAGAGTAAGCCTTCGGCTTAGATATTCAGCAGAGAGCTTGCAAAACTGGACCCCTGCCTCTTCTTTGAACACTAGTGTTTGCTACCGAAAGCCAGGACTCCCTCTATGAAATTCCTTTTGTCATGTTCATATTAAAATAACTCCAAATGCACTCTGTGAATCTGAAAGACCCCTTTAGAGATGAGCCAGATGGCTGGTATCAGATAACTCAGGACGGTCAAAGCATCTCTGTTGCTTCAGCCAAAAGAAGAAAGACCAGCTCGGTTTTCTGAGAATTTTTTGAGGTTTGGGTTGTTTGGTTTTTTTTTTTTGTTTTTTTTTTAATGCATTTTATGAAAATTTTGCAATCCATTTGGTAATTAGGTTTTTGAAGCCCTGGAAGAGGTTTCTAAGCATTGATGGTCCATGTTAAGATCTGAGTGGTTGTAAGGTAGGCAGATGGGGAGTTAAAAGGGAAACCCTACCCGGTAACGATCTGGTCCAGAAGCTGCCATGTGCTCGGAGCTTGTACAGAACACTCTCCACAATGTGCGTCCTGAAGTGGCTCTTGGCTTCTAGAGCCAAAGGATTCACTCCTGCTAGGAGTCCCTGTTCCTCCACCGCGTGTGGCGGGAGCCCCATCACCTTCCTGATAGCCAGTGGCCTCAACCCTTGGCTGGTGCCACACAGGGCCTCCTGTGGGACGCACCCAGACAGTTAGGTTGGGCCCAGCTCAGCGTTGGGGGGGGGGGGGGGGGGCAAGAAGGGCCTGAGCACGTCTGAGAAGCGTGGGGAGCAGTGGGCACAGCGCTGCCAGCCCCCTCCCTGGCTGTCCCTGGGCTGCTTCTGGGCCTTCTCCAGTCTTGGGAAGGGAGGGGAAGGGGAAAGCCTTGACGTTTCTTGGACCTACTATGTGCAAGAGGTTCTGCCGTGCACCTCAGGGCTGCACTCACTGAACACTTCTGACATCCCTTTTGAGTCAGGCTGATGTGACACACACCACCCCCCCCACCCCATCCCCGGCACACGTGGAAACTGAGACTCAGAAGAGACTCCAGTGACTTGTTCTGAGCCTCACAACACTGGCACAGTCTGGAATCCTGCTCTGTTCTTTCTGCCTCCAATCACTTGAGAGGTTCTCAAACCTCCGTGTCCCTCAGAATCACCCAACCAGCTGCTTAAAATGCAGATTCCTAGGCCCTGCTCCCAGAGATCCTGCCTTGGCCTGTGTGAACCGGGCCCCAGGACCCATGCTCCTCACACTTTTCTGTTTGCAAACCTCCTGGACTGTGGCATGAGGTGTGACAGAGTCAGCGGCACGGGGAGCAGAGTGGCCGGGCGGGTCCCCAGCCCCAGGCCTTGGAGGTGTTCACCTGCTACCTTGGAGAAATGAGTCCTTAGAGAGGGACTGCCTGTGCTGAGTGGGAAAATTCACTCAGAGGAGAGCGGCTCCCCGCTACCCACTGGGCACATGGTTATTTTAAAGAATTGTGAGAGACAGTTTCCCATCCTTTTCATTTCCAGATACATTCTTCCCGTTAATCATCCATCCCAAGCACTCACTGTGTGGCGTCCCTGGGCCCTCACAGAGCACCTGGCTGCAATCCTAATTCAAGGCTAAGACCAGGGCCAGCCCACAGGCCACCCCATTATCCTAACAAGTTGCTCGATGGGGCAAAAAGTACAGCTTGTCTGACAGGAAGAGAACCAATTTAGGAGAGAAAGGTCTCATACCACATTCCAAGTTCACCTGGCTGTTCCCTTTCCCCACCATCCCTTCTGGTGGCCCCAGAGCTAACCTCAACAGGGAGGTCCTGGGCTGTGGAGTCAGCCTCTGGTAGGACACTGGTAGTGTCCTACTTGCTAGCTGGGCAGGCTTGCTGGAGCCTCAGTTTCCCTATCTACGAAATGGAGTCACAATCAATCTCGCAGGCTCGTTCAAGGGCACATTCTGTATTGCAGCGCAGCCAGGCCGCCCGCAAACACTCAGAATCTTCGCTCAGTCACCAGGCACCTGACCTGGGACAGGACTCCTGCATTCTGCTCACAGCGGCCCCCTAGCCAGCGGCATCTCTTTCCTCACCTGATTCAAAGCAAACGCATCCTCCCTCCGGGGGCAGCCCAAAGCCGCCACCTCCAGAATGCTCACCATCCTCCCCACCCTTCCACCACCAGCACCCCTGGGCAGTGGTGTCTGTGGCCTGCTGGGTCTGTTCTCCCACACAGACTGCAGCTCACCGAAGGGGGCAGGCCCATGACCCACACGTCTCT